CAGGACAACAAAGATTGCTACCTGTTCCTACCTCTGGAAGCTTTGTTACAGAGGGGCACCCGCCAGATGCCAGCCAGAGCCCTCCTGCATGAGGTGTCTGTTGGCCCCTCCTGGGAGATGTCTCTCAGTCTGGATATACAGGGGGTCAGGGACCCACTTGAGGAAGCAGTCTGTCCCGCATCAGAGCTTGAACACTGTGCTGGGAGAATCACTACCCTCTTTGGAGCTCTCAGGCAGGGATGTTTAAGTCTGCTGAAGCTGCACTCGGAAATGGCCCCTTCCCCTAGCTGCTCTGTCCCATGGAGCTGTGGTGGGCTCTGCTCAGTTGGAATTTCCTGGCAGCTTTGTTTACACTGTGAGGGTGAAATCACCTACTCAGGCCTCAGGTATGGTGGATGTCTCTCCCCCTACCAAGCCTGAACATCCCAGGTTGACCTCAGACTTCTGTGCTACCAGTGAGAATTTCAAGCCAGTGGATTTTAGCTTCCTGGGCTCTATGGGGTGGGACCTTCTGAGCAAGGCACTGGAGAGAATCTCCTGGTCTGGTGGTTGCAAAGACCATAGGAAAAGTGCAGTATCTGGGCCTGAATGCACCATTTCTCCTGGTATAGTCTCTTGCAGCTTTCCTTGGCTAGGAAGGGGAAATCCCCTGACCCCTGTGCTTTCCGGATGAGGTGATGCCCCACCCTGCTTTGGCTTGCCCTCCATGGGCGCATCCACTTCCCAACCAGTCCCAGTGAGATGAACTGGGTACCTCAGTTGGAAATACAGGAATCACCTGCCTTCTCCGTTGATCTTGCTGGGAGCTGCAGACCAGAGCTGTTCCTATTCATCCATCTTGCCCAGAAGAGCCTCATGTATATTCTTATATGTTGGTGCTTTTATTTCTATGGAATAAATTCTGAGAAATGAGAGTGCTCTTAATTTTAATATCCTAATATTAATAGATGTTTCCAGATAATTTTCCCAGAATGGTTATAATTAAGATTTCCACATTCAAACATGATGTAGTCTCAGTCTTTTCATTTTTGCATACTTAATAGGTATAAAGTGAATTCTCATTGTAAGATTAATTTACACCTCCCTGACTCCTTCAGAATTTAGGTATATTTTATGTTTGTTGGTCATTTAAATCTGCTCTTCTATGAATTGTCTTCTCAATTTCTTTGCTTATTTTTCCTCTAATTATCTAATTCTTATCAATTTGCACAAACGCTCTACACATGGATTTCAAGTCTGTCTATCCACTGCATAGCAATTATTTCCCAAGATCTATTTTATGTCTATCGACTTAATCTATAGTATCTCATGTTCATAAATTTGTAATTGATCTGCTGTGCTGTGCTTTTAAAGCCTCTGGTTTTCCAGTCTCAGTTTGAAAGGTGATTGTTCCTACGTTAAATGTGTAGATTCTTAGATTTTTTTTTTTTTTAGTAATTTTTATTTTTTTCACATTTTAAATCTTTAAGCCACCTGAATTTACTCTGGCAACTAGAGTTAACAAAAATTCATTTTTTACAAATTGAAATACCAGCCTTACTGTGTTTTACTTACCATTTATTTTATAATTTATTTATGAATTTTCTATTCTGTTTCACAGACGTATTCATTTATACCTGCATTTCTAGATGGAACCAATGTACTTCTTACATATATTGACTGATGTCTCATGTCTCCCTAAAAATGTGTAAAACCAATCTATGCCCCGACCACCTTGGACACATGTTGTCAGGACTTCCTGAGGCTGTGTCATGGGTGTGCATTCTCATCCTTGGCAAAATAAACTTTTTAAATTAACTGAGACCTGTCTCAGATTTTTAAGGTTCATACCCACTAGGCTTGATCTGTTTTTCATTACCAATACCTGCTGCTAAAACTGTTCAAGCACCCTCCCTCTAGGCCCAGGGATGATCATGGTGCAGGTGAATATGTGAGACTATAAGGGCCAGTTTTGAGGGATAGAATTACTCTCCAAATCAAGGATGGGCACACAGATGCTTAAAGAGCTGGCCAACTTAGGGACTTTGCTTCCTAGGCCATTATGTAGCCCCTTTTCATCCATCCCAACCATAACGAATTTTCTGTTTCTCATAGACTTAAAAGAGAATTGCCAAGGACATCAAGACACCTGGAAATGAAGCCTGCTGGGTATAATTGTTCCCACTTATGGGGTTTAAGAAACTAGAGATATGGGCCGGGAGTGGTGGCTCATGCCTGTAATCCTAGCACTTTGGGAGGCCGAGATGGGTGGATCACCTGAGGCCAGGAGTTCAAGACGAGCCTGGCCATCATAAAAATATATATATATATATATATATATATATATATATATATATAAAAGAAACTAGAGGTATGATACAATTTATTGATTACTTTAGAACAAATTTCTAAGGAGACTGCAAAAAAAACCAATTTGGCACAACAAAGGTCTCTAAATTCCTTAGCTCAAATAGTTTTACATTGCTAAATATTTAACTAAAACCAAGATTACATTGGCTCACTTAATATAACTTATAGATAAGCCAATTTTATAACCTTGCCTTTTGGCTTGGTTTTTGGCTCTTGGTTTTAAGGTTAATGAGCGCCTGCCCACCTCCATTCTCATTTGGCCTAGAACATTTAATTGGCATAAGTCTTTGGGCTGTAAGTTCCCTGGCAATAGGAGTTCCACCAAGGAACAGAATGGGCGTGGGGCTGCCAGCCACACCATCCCGGCAATAATATGGGACAAAATAAAAATTTGGCCATTTATGCTGCCTCTGGCAAATCCCAGACAAAATGGGGAAATGAGAAATAATTGTGTTAGGCACTTCTTAGTGTTGTTATAAAGAAACACCTGCGACTGGGTAATTTATAAATAAAAGAAGTTTAATTGGCTCATGGTTCTGTAGGCTGTACAGGAAGCATGGAGCTGGCATCCATTCCTGGTGAGGCCCCAGGAAGCTTCCAATGATGGAAGGCAGCAAACATGTCACATATGAGAGCAGGAGCAAGAGAGTGAGGAGGGGGAGATCCCAGACTTTTAAAAAACTAGATCTCAAGTGAACTAACTGAGTGAGAGCTCACTCAACCCCAAGGGGGATGGTGCTAAGCCATCCATGGGGGATCTGTCCCCCTGATCCAGTACCTCCCACCAGGTCCCACCTTCCACACTGGGACTCACGGTTCAACATGAGATTTGCAGGGGACAAACATTCAAGTCATATCAATAATAAAATCCAAGCTCCCCAACCAAATGAAAAGATCCCCTTTTGGCCAAGGGGACCCCAGAGAAGCCTTGGAAGCTGAGTTGCTGGGCATGATGGGAGGAGCGTTCGGACACACCTCATTACACAGTCTCCCTGGCTAACTACCATTAGGCCGTCTTCCCTAAGGGCTAAACAGAAAGCAGCCCTTTCCAAAGACTCCACACTGATAATGTAGATTGCCAGCTTATCTTCCCAGGTACAAAACAAAGACAAAATGAAATTAATTGTTCCTTCACCCCTCCCTGAGACATCTGCTTCCTCTATTCTCTTTTTCTTCAAATTTTATTTTAGTAAAATGTAGAGTTAGTGGGCACTGTCTGAGGTCTCACAAGTATGTAACCATTCCCCTCACTGGCAGCCGCCACCAACCCCTTTAGGGAAATTATATAAAACCTTCTGAGAGCTTCTTTGGAAAAAGAAAAACAGCCACAGATCTGTCTATGTGGCTTGTGAGTTTTTCCCAGGCACGCCCTCAAAGCTGGCTTAATAAACCTTGATTGATGGGGACACCTGCCTCAGTCACTCATTTTGGTTATCAACAACTACATAAAAAAGAAAATATTTGCAGTTTAGACTATTACTTAGCAAGGATACTTACTGAAAACCATAAAATAAGAAAACTATAGACCAATGATTCCTAGTCTTCCAAAGGTTGAGTTGTACCTGAGGCAGTGGGTTGTTGCCAATAAACGGGTGGATTCTCTGCATGGCAGGGGAGGAGGGGGCCTCCTGTGGCACTTCTGTCGTCCTGTGGTTTACAGCTTTCAGGCAAGAATGAGCCTTCATCATCTTTAAACCCTAGGGTCCAGCACAGGACTTCCTTTATTTTGGGGTTTATTCTTAGCTATCTCAAGTCCGTTTTAAAGAGAGATTGAGTGTGATCACAAAATCAACAGGAGAAAACACATTCTGATCTTCCCTGCCAAGACCAGCTCGGCCATGGAGACCTCAACCCAGGTGGCGCTGAAGGAATTAAGAAACAGATAGAGACAGAATTCAAAAGGTAGGCTCAGGGGGCTGACAGCCTTCCCAGCTGAAAGCCTAGAGTAGACTCTGACCCATGTATTTATTCTTTACTTTCCAGTGATCTGTTTAACAAGCGGATGCTCCATGTTCTTTCATTGGTTAAAGGTAAACTAACCAGGCAGCTAGTGTATGTTCACTACAGGTTAAAGATAAACTAGAAAGCATTCTTTACAAGGGAACAACGGAGGCAGAGTCACATGTCCTGTGTTTAAGGAACTAGTTCTTCTGGTGTGAGACATATACATGTTGTTTACTGTTTTAGAACACCTTGAGGGGTTTTTCTGCTTTGGGGGGCTTGGTTTACCTTGCCGTCACTCTCAGCAAACAATATAATATATTTCATCACACACGTCAGAATTTGCTCTCAGCACTTCTCTTTCCATGTGAGCTGCAAAGGGCACAGGCCTTGTCTTGCCCTGACCCAGACCCCAAAGGCACAACTGTGCAAAAGCCACTCCCACTGGTGATGTCTCTTGGTTCATTCTCAACTTCAAATACCTATAATTTAATTTTAAGCACCCTTAATCATGTGGATACTTCAACTACCCCCTCAACACTTCCCAGCCCATGTCTGGTTCTGATCAAGCCAGCCAGCCCTGGGGGCTTTCTCTTTCTCCTTCTGTGACTTTCAATGGACACATGACCTTCTGCTCAGAGCCAGCTTATTGCTGAAGAATAAGAGGCTTACAGAGATGACATTCCTTGTCCCATGTCTATTTAATTTGGGCAGCAACTGAGTGAAAGCCCCCAACTTGTAACTCAGCGGCCTTTCCATGTTCCCTTGTCTGGCTCCTGATCCTCAGTCCTATTTCCAGACTTATGAATCTTGGAATATTTGTTTGGGGAGGACATCCTTAGATAACCCACACTTACTTGCATGGTTGACCCCCACATTGCTGAAACCCTGTTAAGATATGGAGCAGCACTGCACCGCCAGGCCAGGATGGCCTGCTGGGGAGAGCTTTGGGCCATGAATCAGCTGCTGTTTGGTAGGCACTGCACTAAGCACTGACCCATTTTGTCAGCACTGTGAGGTGCAGATGCTACCCACTTTCCAGATGAAGGAACTGTGGCTCAAAAGGATACATGATTCAGCAGTGAGAGACTTAAGCAGGATTCACAAGTCAGCATGTCAGCAAAGCCAGATGCCAGCTAAGATGGACCAGAGGTGCTGTGGGCTCTTCAGGCAGGTGACGCTTGGTGATACCCCCACTGCCAAGCTCATTTGTCTCCAAGTGACACCCTGTGAGGCAGCCCTGGGTAGTACAAGGGCTCCTGTGACAGCCATAGGAGTAGGTGTAGCCCTAGGCTACTGGTGCTCTCAGAGCTGCACAAACACTACTTTCTAAGAAACCAGTACAACTACTTTCTAGTGAGAAGGGAGGGCATCTCCCAAAAACTGGCTATGTCCCAGCCATCTGAGTGGCTAAAAAAGTCTCTCTGATCTGTGCCTCACTCCGGCTTTAGAAGTGGAACCTCCTTGTCTAAGCCGCTCTTCCAAAATGAACTGCACAGTCAAGGGACGGATGTCACACTAGCAGCTTATGCTAGCTCAGAGGGACAGAAGCCACTCATTGCAACACAGCAGAGATGCAGGCTAAGTGGCGGCCAGGGGCCATGAGGCAGGCAGTCCTGTCCTCATTTTGTCCCCATGGTGGAGGGGATAAACAGGGCCTTCCTGGCCAGCGAGCCCTGGACTTGGATCCAGTTAAACCAATTCTGAGCCTTAATTTCATCACTCAAATAACGGGCACAGTAACCCATTACACAATAATGAGGTACAATCGCTATTGCAAAGGACAGCGGGATTGTAAATTCAAGAGCTGGAGGGAAACATGTGGCAAGTTTTTTTCATTATCACTTTTCAACAACCTATGTTCTACGTCCTCCAGAGTCAAGCTCCAGCCTTTCTCCTCTGCAAGCTCCCAGGGTTCTGCTCTCTGCTATCTGTAGAGGACATCCCTTGCCCACTGAGTGTTGCCCACACAGCTGTCTGTGGCTTCCGCTGGGACTCAGGGAACGCCTCCTGTCAGGTGCACACTCCATTCTTGATGGGGGCTTCCAACCTGGCCTGTGCACTCTGCAATCAGGGACTGGCTGGACCTCGGACAAACTTCAAACACTGTAAGCCCCGCCTTGCATAGGGCCGGGGCCAGGAATGCCCCCGACAGAAGTACTTGCAGACTGAGGTCTCGGCCAGCCTGCCTCACCTTCCTCAGTGTGGCTGAACCGGGGAGGAGGAGAGAAAGGCTGCTTCTACCATCCTCTTCCTCCCCACAAAGGGCCAGCACACCCTGGGCCAGCGCTCAGGACAGGACTGCCTGCCTCATACTCTGCTAGATACGCAGCTGAAGCACTTCCAGAGGAGGCCTTTAGAAAAAGGAAACAAGGCCGAGTTCAGACGGAGTAAATTATCTCAAGAACTCAGATCACTAAAATTCTTTAAATTAACAAATACACTTTTAATTGATCTCAGATAAAAACTACTCAAGGAAGGTCAGTGATTGTTTTAGTCCCTAACCTGTTAGAGCTGTATGGTGAGCAGCCTTGAGTAGCTGGGTTAACTGGTTATTTTCCCGAATTCCCACCAACCATGGTATTAGAAAAAACAAGGCATTGTCTCCGTTTAGGATAAACACATGGCCTGGCAACCAAATCCAGTCTCTCACATCCCGTATTTTTTCTTTAGCTCTTCCACTTTGTTGATGTAAGCTTTCATGGCATCTTCCTTGGTAGTCCCTGTAAGGAATCAACAGGATTATCTGTCAGGGAGGCAGCGTGGTAGGAAACAAGCAGCCTTCAGAGCCCGAGGCAGCTCTGCTGGAGCCCTCCTAGGCTCAGCTTCTCACTTAGAAAGTTGGGCTTCTACTAATTACATGTTAGAGGAGACAGTATCTGAAGTGAATGCTCCACAAGCCACTGTACTCAGAAAGCCTGGTGGGGCTGGCCGAGACCTGTCGCCCGTCTGCTGGCCACCTGCATCCTCCACCTGTCCTGGGGGAACGGCCAGTGTGAGCCTCCCTCCAGACAGGCAGAAACTGTCACCATTTCCTGGTGACTTTACTGGTCCTGCTAACTCTTGTGGCTGGCACTGGTTTGGCCTTTTCAGTGTCTCTGTGTTTGGGCTCCAATCTCCCAGGGCTGTTAAGCTGGCAGTGAAAAAGCAAAGCCAGGCGCCCTTTCTCCCCAGAGACAGGCTATGAGAAAAGTTTCAGGAACTCTGATCAAAAGTAGCTGCTTCTTGGAGGGGAATGAGACAAAGCTTTGTCTTCTTGCTGCAGTAGAAAGGACACTGAATGTATCCTCAGAGACAGTGACACACAGTTTCCTGGATTCTGTGGTGAAGGAGAGAGACCCCCTGAAACTCAGAGCTTGTTCTCAAGCACGGGAAGGTACGCGGGGCCTGAGGCTGGTATGGAAATGTCCCATGAAAATGGCCAGGCATTCCCTTCCCAGTTACTTGCAGATCCTAGGAGTGTGTTTATTGTATTGTGGCCCTTTCTGAATTCAAGGGTTTCTCATTTGTAGAAAGACAGAGGGCTTATTCAGAAACTAGCCAGCGGGAACACTAATGTTGCCAGGAGCTTTGGTGCCAACTCTTGGGTCTTGCTTCTGCAGGTGGCATGTGATTAAGTAGGGGCTTGGATACTTCTTGGCTGCTGGTGCTTAGCATATAATGGCTCCATTCACTGAGCCTACGATGCCAGCAGCTTGCCATGCATTAGCTCATTCCCTTCTTTTATGTACCCTTCTGGCTGGGAGGGAACTGCGGAGGGCCACGGGAGATAGGGGGTCATCACCTAGCCTATGGGGGACAGAGAGGGAGCTGTAGACAGGAAACCACCCCTTACTCTGAACACATCCGAAGCCCACGCCAAGTACATCACTTCCCAACCTATTTTGCGACAGCCTGGTCCCCAGCCCCTCCTCCCTAGGTGATACTTTTGCTCAGAGATGGTGCTTTTAGAAAAGGCATAAACAGTGTCAGGAGAAAAAGTAGGTGGCCCGGTTTTTTCCCATTCTGGCACAGGTCAGACTGGTTTCCTGCACGTGCTCCATTGACTTTCTTTTCTCTCCTCTTCCCTTACACTTCATAGTGAAGACTCTTTCATTACCGGGTCTCACAAATGCGGGAAACTGATTAGAACAATTACCTTTCAGCTCATTCCAGGCATCCCACTTGGCCTTGCCCTTGAAGTCCAACATCCCGGGCCGTTCTTAAACAAGAGAAGAAAAGACATTAGATCTGCTTCAAATTTGAACGGAGAACTTGATAGACCTTCTTGCCATGAATGCCATCTTCTATTACACCTATTCCTTCTAGACTCTGTCATGGGGTTAAACGGGGCTAGTAGTATGGGTTCTGCCTTAAGAAAACCAGATGTATGGCAATCCAAACTTAAATCTAGAGAAAATGGGAAGAACACTATTCTCATTACAAGATAGTCTTTGTCTTACAAGCGAAATGACTCCAAAATTTCTCCTTTTAAAAATTATACTTTAATTATAATTTTTTAAAAAAACATACATTCATAAAGCTACAGAGAAAAATACTATAAAATTTTACTGCTGTTAGCTGCCCAATTTCTCTCCCTAATCATTAATGTTATCAGGTATCCTTTCCTATAAACTATCTGTTTATATCCTAGCCCCATTTTTCTACCAAATTGTTAGTCTACTTCTTGCTGATGTGTGGGCATTTTCACTGACGGTAAGGTTTCTTTAAGTTATATGATGACTTTATACTTCTATACCTGTTATCATCTGCAGTTAGGAAACACACTCACCATTTCCCTGTTGTCCTATTTCACTACCATGCCCAGCTCCAGAGCCAAAGGGAACAATCAAAGTCCACAGCCTGAGCACTGTGCCTGAGAAAATGTCCCCAAGCGCTTTCAGGAAAGTGTTCCCAGGGACATCTGAAACAAACTGTACTTGCAGTCATCGTCAGAATCCTAGAGGAGCATCCCTGGACACTCTCTCCACAGCCCTGGGAATGGAAATGTGCATGTACATTTGCAACGTCCAATTCAGGAGCCATCTGCCACACTGAGGACCTCAAATGACTACTAAGCACCTGAATTGTGGCTCCTGTGAATGAAGACTAAACTTGATTTTATTTAACTATTTCTATTTTCAGTTAATTTTTTTTTTTAGAGATGAGAGTCTTGCTCTGTTGCCCAGGCTGGAGTGCAGTGGCACAATCTTGGCTCACCACAACCTCTGCCTCCTGGGTTCAAACGATTCTCTTACCTCAGCCTCCCGAGTAGCTGGGACTACAGGCACATGCCACCACGCCCGGTTAATTTTTGTATTTTTAGTAGAGACGGGGTTTCACTATGTTGGCCCCATCAACATAGGCTGGTCTCGAACTCGGGACCTTGTAATCCACCTACCTTGGCCTCCCAAAGTGCTGGGATTACAGGTGTGAGTCACTGAGCCCGGCCTCAGTTAAAATTTATATAGTCATATGTGGCTACTGGCTATTATGCTAAACTGTTATGTTTGCACTATCATGTTTTATAATCGTGTAATAGGGCTGTACAGTAAAGCCCTAGACAGCGCTGATGATACCTCTTTGATCAGGAAGTGATAGGTTCCCACGCCAGTCAACCTAGACTCATGTGAAAACTGGTAACTCTAGTATGGGCACAGGCCAGTGTCTGTGAAAATACTGTTTGTTCCAAAAGTATCTCAGCACCTCTGGCCTCACCTGCTTCACCTTTCCTTCCCCTCCCTGGGAGGAGAATTTATAAACTCACCGTAAAACTCATCTTCTCCACAAGACCTTACTCAACTAAGTGTTCCGTGGGAGCCGCAGTGTTTGATTTGGCACTACCTGTGATCCTTCGCTCTGCGTGCCATTTCTTGCTTCCAACTGGCTGACAGCCAGCCCACCTGCTCCATCTTCTACCCAGCTACTGTGGAAATGGGGACTGTGCTCACCTTCCTCCTGAACAGGGGCAGGGGAGACCTTGCTTCTGTGTTGCCATGACAACTCTGAGTCCTTGCACAGAATGCACTGTGCTGTTGCCTCAGTATCCACTAGTTTCAGGGACTCAGGGGCAGAATGAAACCTGCCCAAGGCAGGAAAGATGATGTTATTACAGATGTGACAGTCCAAAGCACAGCCTCAAACTCTGTGCCGAGATTTTGGGACAGGGAACAGGCATCATCAAGAAGGCACAGACTTGTCAGTGAAATGCTCTAACCTGGCCCAGGTGTTTCTCTGCTCCTGACATCATGCTTGGCCAGGCTGCCAAGTACTCCAACTTTGATCCTGCCCATCTCGGGTAGAAGCTGAATGGCTCAACAATGCTACCACTGAGCTGAGAGCTTAGAGCAAGTCTTTTCCAAGCTGCACCCTTTGCTTCTTCCCTAGCAGAGAGGAGCTGCTGGTGGTAACCAGCAAAACCCTTCTAAAACCAGGATTTCAATTCTGCTGCTGGAGACACTGAGATTCCCGAACATGGTCTTTTTCACCCCAGGAACCATCGGTGCTTCGGGATGGGAATTGAGTATCTTCGCTTCTTCAATCTGTGCAACCCCTTCCACCATCTTTCCATACCCACGTGCAGAGCGGAGCCTCAGGCAGTTTGAGAGTGAAGTTCCCAAGTACTTGTAGCAGAGCCTGCTTTGATGAGCAGAGGCCCTTCCAATCCCCGCTCCACATACCTGTATTTATGTCGCCCACAGTCGCTTGTTTGTAGTGGCCATAGATGAAAAGCATCTCATCATCTCCTGGCTTGGTCTTAAGGTTCTTAACTTCTTCTGCAGCTTTCTCAAACTCAGCCTAAATGGAAGGGAGAGGAGAGGACTGAGGGCCTTCTCTGGGTGTGAGAGGGCAGGAGTCCTGCTGTGGCCTGAACAGAGCCCAGCTACAGGGATGGAGAGGTGGGAAAGGCTGCACCCTCCCTGCAATGCAGACCCTGAAGTGTGTCTGCCCCGCCCTGCCCCAAAAGGGCAGCTAGAAAGATTCAGCAACATAAGCAGGGGAAGCCCGTCCAGTTCACTCATTCAATCGAAAACCATATATCCAGCGCTCTCACTAACGCAGGCATCTGGTCTGGAAATACAGGGGTAAAGAAGGAGGGCTAACCCTTTGCCCGCAGTGGGTGTCCACTCCGCGCGAGGAGCAGAGCGGCCAACTGCCCACTGGGCCAGGCACTATGGAGTGGTCGGGGTTCCAGAGAAGCCACGGCTTGGGGATAGAGGTGGCACAGCATGTTCGAAACAGCTGAAAGGGGACAGGGCACGAGTGCCACGGTGTCAGCGCCGGAGCCCGCTGGTCCCCTCCCCTCCCTTGGGGTCCGGGCGTTCAACGCCGACCTCTGTCTCCGTGCCCGGATTGGGAAAGGCAGGCGGGAGGAGCCAGAGGTCGCCCCACAAAGCTTGGTGCCAGACAAGGGTCTACACTAGAGGGAAGGAAGGCGAAGAGGACCCTGGGTCACCTCTGTCCCGGCCGCGTCTCCCGTCCCGCCCGCGGAGCACCCCGCCCTGTACTTCCCCTGACCTCCAAGCTCCCGGCCATGGCCTACGCGCTCCCCCACTGCGCCGCGACGCCCTGGCTGGTGCTTCGGGAAGGGGACTGAGTCTCCTCGCTCCTCCAATCCGTGCAACCCCTTCCCCAATCTTTCTATCAAGCACCCTCGCCTCCCACCCTTCTCCCACTACACCGCGAAGTCCACTCCACGGGCAACTTTCCAGCAGTGGCGGGGTGGGCAGCAGATTTAGAAATCCCCAAACGGAAAGTCCCGCTCACAAGGTTCTGTCCAACGAATCAGGGCTAGGCAAGGGTCCAGGAGGAACGGTGGGGCACGGAAGGAAAGAGCCCGAGAGTTCCGGCTGTCGGGTGAGCCCCCGGCAGGGCCCCCGCCCGCTGCACCTTCGGAGCCCGGCTGTGCACGCCCTGTACCTGAGACATCCTGGCCGGCTTGCAAGAACTCCACGGAGCCCGCGGAAAAGGCGAGGAGTAGGAAGCGATCGCCCAGTCTGAGCTGGCAGGCGCCTTCAGAGGCGCGGTCTACCAGTCCCAACTCTGCTCGGGCGAGGACCGAGAAGCCAATCAGAAGCCAGCTCTGCGCTAGGGGCGTGCCCAGCCCCCGCCGCGGCGCCAGCCCCGCCCGAACCCACGTGGGCCTGCTCGCGCATGCGCTGAGAGGAGCCGAAGGGGACGCCGGGAGCAGGTGGGGACCGCGGAAGTAGGGCGTTTAGTCCAGAGGCCCAGAGTTGGTCGAGAGTTGTGTTCAGTCCTGGGCCGCTGTGGGGACGGCACGCGGGGGAAGGGGAGGGGACGGAGACCGAAGAGCGGAGATCCTTATATTTCTTTTCTTTCCTTAAATCTCTTGCCTGGCAGGAAGAGGCCGGAAGTTACATCTTTGGAAAAGTAAACTCTCAGACCTGGGGATGGCAGGCGGGACCCGCTCCTCTCTTGGGGTCTAGAGGAGACCCCCTGGGATGGTCCCTGGTGACCTGCGTGATGGTGGAAAGCTGGACTGGTATCCAGAAAGGCGAAGCTGAGGCCTCTTCCTCGGAACTTCTGGCAAGTTCCTTGACTTGCCTGTGGCCTTAGTTTTCAGTCCTGTATTACACGTTTATGTTTGTGGTGCATTTCTCCATCTGGTGCGTTAAAGGCAGGGACAGTATCTTATTTGTCTTGATGTAACAAACTTGGATGGGACCAGGTGCTCAGCAAATATTTCTTAAATGAATGGCTGTTTATTGAACTGTTGGGTGTCTTGCACTGTTCTAGACTTTGGGAGACAGCAGTGAACAAAACAATGAATCCCTGCAATCTTGCAACTTAAAGTAGGGACAGTAGTTTATACAGTAAGTTAAATATAGAGTTGTTTAGGGGCTTAGAGAGTTGGAAGTTTATAGTTTTAAATAGGGAAAGGGGAGTATTGAGGGAAGGTGACATTTGAGAAAGTTCCTCAAGGAGGGGAGGGAGGATTCCAAGCTGAGAACAAGTGTAAAGGCGTGGGCAGGGAACCAGGGGAAGAGTAGAAAGATGAGGCTGGATAGTTCTGGAGGTGGCAGGCTGGCTAGGTGATGCAGAAGTTGGCCATCACAGGGACTTTGACTGCCATTCTGAGTGAGATGGGAAATTGTAAGAGGTTTTGATCAGAGGTTGAGGAGACTGAGGGGAATGCCTTTGCAAGATTGTTGCAGAGGCTAATCTCCATGGGAACAGAAAGGAGCAGCACAGGTGTATGGAAGTGTTTTAGGATCGATGCTTAAGCTAAAGGAAGACTTCTCTGGCAGTGGTTACAAAGGAACTGGGTGAAGAGAGGGAAACTGTGGAAAATTATCTGGAGATCATTAAAAAAGCAAAATCATACCTCTCTAATTCCTAATTTGTGGCAAGAGGGCTGAACTACAAATCTCTGCCTTCCCTATACCTCCCCCGCCACCCACAACAGGGAAGGTAGAAGCTTTCAGACTTGCTAACTTAATGTAGGACAGGTTTTATGGAATGTTTGGGAAGAAATGAAGATGCAATAGGGAACAAATCTAGAATTTTCAGTCTTAAGAATAATTTTGTTTGAGAAAGGAAAACCAAACAAATTAACAAAAATTGTGGCGTTAAATAGGGGGAAAGTACACTGAAGTGTAAGAAACGCAAGTTTCTTTGAAAATCACAATTCAGAGGTGCTTTTTCCATTTAAGTCCTGGATTTGATTTTGATCTACTTGGTCCTTACAGCTTCCTTGATGGAAACTCACATTATTGCTTGTGTGGGCAGATTTGCAGTCAAATACATCTCCTAGTCAGCAGGTTTTAAGTTAGGGTATTGCTGAGGTTATGTACCTTAATAATGCAATTATCTATCACTTCCCAAAGATCAGTTGCTTTACCTTAGTTTTTTAGTGTTTAGTTTTAAAATTGTTTATGTGTTTGTGATGGGATCTCACTCTTACCTAAGCTGGAGTTCAGTGGCACACTCTCAGCTCTCTGCAGCCTTGAACTCCAGGCCTCAAGTGATCCTCCCAACTCAGTCTCCCATGTAGCTGGAACTATGGGCACAACTACCATGCTTGGATAATTTTCTTATTTTTGTTTTTTGTAGAGATGGGGTCTGTGTTGTTGGTCTTGATCTCCTGGGCTCAAGTGATCCTTCCACCTTGGCCTCCCAATGTGCTGGGAGTACAGGTGTAAGCCACTGCGCCTGGCCTTGCTTGAGTATTGCTTTTCATAATTCTGAGAGTGCAAGATCCTTACTCTGTTTATGTCCTGGTTAGCAACCGTAACATGTTGTAATTATTTTATTTACAATTATTTTAATTTACTTTTCTACTGTCTAACCCCTTGACCCTACCTCCCACCAAACAGTCACTGCTGTATTTCCAAGTGCCTGGCACTTCTTAGGCACTCAACAAATAGTTGTTGAATGAATAAAGTGTTTTTCTCTCTATGAAGATGTATTCCCATCTGATCTAACTGTGAACTTGGAAACCATCTAAGTTTGTTAGAACTGAATGTAAAATTATGGGCTTGAGTAAAGTAGATGAACTCTGGTACAAGAACCATGTAATCTCTTTGTGCCACTCCCAGCTTTAGAAGGAGAGCACCTGGAGATGAGAAAGCTGACCAGCCAACTTGTCAGCCATATTGACCCTGCCAATCGAGAGAGGCCATTGTCATTGTTATAGTTTGCCTTCACATCTGGGGATACCACTTATTTATTTATTTATTTATTATTTTTATCATAGGTGATGCTCTTGTCTACCACAGGCTTCACTTGCTGGGTCTCAGCATAAAGCCAGATGGCCAAGATCTCTCTTTCTCTCTCTCTGTCTCTCCCCCCTCTCTGTCTCTCTCTCTCTCTCTTTCTCTCTTCCTCTCTCCCCTCCCTGCCACCTCTCCCTCTCCCTCCCTC